AGCTAACGGTAACCTTTTTTTTTAATATTATTTAATGTACTTTCGGCAAGAGGATCAAGAAAAATAGTATACGACCCATGGCCATAATGTTGGATGCCCTGACATATGTGATATGATGGCCTCGGCTTCGCCTCGGCCATCATATCACATACGCCAGGAAATCCAACTTTCTGGCCTTGGGACGTAATATACTATATTTTAAAATTTCTTTATATCAAATAGAAGAAATATTTGTATTTTTTATAATATTAACAAACTTGCTATTGCTCGATAAATCCAGCGAGAACGATTATTTAAACTTTTCGAAAATAATTAAAACCAGAATAATACCATAGAATTTGGTTAAGTATACGACATTTGTTTTTCTCGTTTTAAAAACATGAACTTTTTGCGTCTCAGGTAATTTCATTAAAAAGGAAAGTTAGAAGTATACCAATGAACGCTAATGCGTCTTTTAAAATAATATTTCCTTTATTTTGTCAATCAAAATTTGTACATATTCTTTAAGAATATTTCTCTGTACAGTTGTGGACACATCGGTTGCGACACTTTTTTTTATAGGTTTCTAATATATATTTAATATACATAATATATATTTTATAGATAATTAATATTTTGCAAATGCGAACCATCTTTAGTCTAGAGACAGTATAACACCAATCGTGGTCCGCATTTGCAAAATATTAGTGCGTTTTGAAACCTATAAAAAAGAAGTGTCGTAACCGATATGTCCATGACTGTACAATGCAAAAAAACATACTTTCAGATGCCATTGGGTTTATTTAGAAAGATCAGTTTCGGTTTTGCCGCAAGAAAATATTAAAAGTGGTCAAAAACGCCATTTTTAGTCACTTTAATTTCAATTTACTCAAAATCCTGATGTGCTAGGCGAGTTTTTCAAACGGCATCGTGTATAGCGTGAAAAAAATTTCAGGAAACGATAGGTCGCACTTCGGAGAGAGAAAAAGTATTTTTTTTGTAGCACAGCGTAATTAATAATTAAAATTAATTTTTATTCCTTTTGCAAAATTATCTTTCACTAATTTATGAAACTATCCTTTAAAGGTACGATTTTACGATTATGTGTATATGTAATATTTGAGTACAATATGTTAAAAAATGTTAAAGAATGTTAAAAAAAGCGTTCTGTTCATCAAAAACTAAAAAATAAAAATTTTTTAAAAATTTAAAAAATGTTTTTTTGAAATGTAAATTTCTAATCGAGGACATAATAATTTGATGACATGTTATGCGCCGTCGGTAGTTAAAGTTTCCGTTGTTTCTAAATCGAGCACGATAAGGTGGATAAGGTTAGTGAATATTGCAACTCGGGAAACATGACCGAGATGTATGCTACATGATTAAAGACATTTTTTTAACTGTCGGAATTATAAATTTATGAAGCTTGACATTTCTGCGAAAAGTACTTAATCGTGCTACTGTATGCTATAATAACGTACGTTCTTTCTCTAAAAATATTATATATTGCTGTAACGGAAGTACATTTACAACTTATCAGATATTCTATATAATAGATATATTAAAGTATAGGATGCCATGTGTACCGGTAACTTTATCATCAATTAAAATAATTATAAATTCAAACACACGCACATACGCACAAAATTATACAAAAACTAAATCCAGGGTTGGGAAGTAACGCGTTACTTGTAACGCCGTTTTTATTATTTTTTTAAAAATAAAAGATCGTTATTTTTTTTCTATCTGTAACGGTAACGGTAACGAATTTGCCGTTACTTTTATCGTTATTTTATTATATATTTTTAATTTATTTTTGGAAAAATAATTTGCATTCTATATTTCGTACTCTTAAGCTACATTCCCACAGTCACTAGCAGTATCTAAAATCTATAATTCATATTGCATATATGCTATAGATTTTCAATACTAACTGAATATTGAAATGCACTCTTAATAATGTTTAAAAACAATAAATTTAATCTAACTTTCTATAAAAATAAGTAACATAAAGAAAAATTTGCTTTATATACAGACTAGTTTAGAGAGTTTTAATATTTATCATTACATTTAACAATAATTATCGAATATAAATATAATTATTTAAAATCTAATTTAAACTTACTTTAGTATTACAAAAAAGTAACGAAAAAGTAACGAATCGTTACTTTTTAAATGATGGTAACGGTAACACGTTTTTTAAGGTAACGTTCCCAACCCTGACTAAATTTTTTTAAAGTAAATTTTATATTATATATATATATATATATATAGTTTAAAATAGAATTGATGTGTGAATAATTTTATTTATGACGCGCTTTTTCTGATGTTATCGCCGTTTGCTTAAAGGACGAAAGAGGTCTTCACCCTTGAGAAAAGATCACATCTGGAAAATGCGGGATAACTGCCGAGAGAATATAGCCCAAAGTAGAATGTACCCAGAATAGAATGAATAAAATATAACAAAACGTAGAGAACGTCAAATGTGGACGATACCAACGAGCTTTCTAAAATGTTTTCTTGCAGATATTTTTAGCAATCATAAGATAGTCACACATTCGAAATTGTTTGTTAGATGGCATCAATTTTGTTGTTTTTATACAATTGATTGAAATACAAAAATTATCATGATAAAATAAATAACGAAAAATTACATTGAGGTTATAAGGTATTGACGCAATGATGAAGATTGAAGCTTTTCTTCATCCAGATATTTTTTCTGCATACACAAGTGGGAAAGTCTGAAATATCTCATTGCTTATCGTTGCTTGGAAAACTGCCGAGAGTAAAGAGACGTAGGCTGTCACGATGAATGTATCTCGAATGTATCTTGCATGCATGTATCATATATGTGGCGTTCATACATATATCGCAAAACAACACATACATCTAAACTTGATGTATGTGGATGTATATTGGATGTATATCGTACAATGCAGTTTACATTACCGCGAGTCAAAGCATATTTGCACTGATTTCTATTTATTTAGCTTAACTATTGTATATTATAACAAAGAAAAAAAAGAAAAAGAAATCATTCAAAATTGAGTTACATTACAAATACATTCTTTGTGTGCCTTTTAATTGCCGTAATATATGAATATGCAATCTCTCTCTCTCTCTCTCTCTCTCTCTCTCTCTCTCTACTCTCTCTCTATATATATATATATATATATATATACACACACACACACACACACACACACACACACACACACACACTACATAACTTCTTTAAGTAATCGAGATGTGCGGATGTTTATCTCGCTTCATTTAATGTCGCTAGTAAGTTATACGAATTCGCCTAATTGCATCGAAGATATCCCGAGAATTCGTAGGAGGACTCGGAGGACCCCGGTATGCAAGCGTGGTGGCTTGTTCGCATAACGCGGCTTCCACGTATAATTTCGTGATACATTATATTACCGCGACAGCCCGCTCGGTCTGATTATCCCGAAAACAACCGCAAAGATTAATCATTGTGCAATATCGTTGAAATAACGTGATCGCTTGTCGATGCCGCATTATAGCGCCACGTATATCACGCTGTTCCATTAGATGCTCGCATGCATGACAGATACCTATACAACAACAAAATATTTACACCTGTGTGCATAGTTCAATCAATGTTAGCGGGAGAGGGATGCCTCTATCCAAGCAGGAAACCGAAATGAAGGGTTGAATGCGAGGGAGCAGAGGTAACTTCAAAGAGAGAGAGAGAGAGAGAGAAAGAGAGGGTGAGGACACGGTGAGTTGGGGTCGAGGATGAAATCTATTCGGGAGTTTCCGCGGGTTTTCGGGCTCGTCCGCTGGGTCATTGGGTCAAATCTACGGTTACATCCAGAGTAGGGAGAAGGCGAGGGGTACTAGCAGTCATATACACCGTTATACGCGTTCACAATGCAAACTTCAACCTTAGCCGCCGCCACCACCACCACCGCCGCCGCCGCCGTCGCCGCCGCCACCCCCAGCTCGTTATTCGATGCGCGCCTATTTTTAGAAAGAGCCGCCCCGAGCACGAGAGAAACCGGAGAATGAAAAGACGATGAGGAGAAAGCCAAAGGTGAGGGGGGGGGGCGGAGGAGCAAGTTGAGGTGAACGACGAGAATGAAAGGGCTACAAAGCAGCTGCCACGAGTCGACGGCCCTCGAGACCCTAACCCGGTGATCCTCGGACGATCGATATTTATTGTCAATCTAAGTTATTGACAATCCTTGTCGACGTATAAAACATCCAGTAGTCAATTGTCGATCGTTCGTGACAAATTTCTGGACATAAACAGAACAGAGCAAAAATTTTGGAGTATATTACCGAAATTAAATGTGATCGTGGAATTAATTAAACGCACAAGTAGGCAAAAGTGGTTAGACTCTTAACTTTATTGGTTGTTGGACTCTTAATGCCAGATACTACTATTATCTATAGGCAAGAAATATTTAATGATGTTAACATTAAAACAGTTATATTATTATAGTTTCGTACTATTTTGCGCTAAGCAAATAAATTTTATTATATGTATTCTTATTTTACTCTTATATTCCTAATTATTATATTGGCATTTTGGTGCTTACAATGTTCTAAATTTTCAGCCTATACTTTTGCTATTCAAACATGTAGTGTACATTGTCATTTCTCCAAGCGATATCGTTTCTGATTAATCTGAGCATTATTCTCGTAGCTTTCTCGTATATGTCTACATATGTAAATTTCAAAGTGACGAAATATGAGAGTGTGACAATCACGATGCAGATTGTTCCAAATATTCATTTACCTATAACGTGATGACATTGGTTCAATCTTATGTGTAAAAGAGAGATCTTTCTTTTTTAATAGAGAATACAAGCAGATATTAGAATTATTAATAATTTTATATCGGTAATTGCGAGTTAACATACATCATAATTTATTATGATGTGAGTATACGTGTTATTAATTATCTTATTATTATTCTACAAATTAGGCACTTATCGCGCGTATTGAATTTCTTCAAACTCTATTAAAAGCGATGAAAGGGATTGAAGAATGATTGAAGAGTGAAGTAAAAGTGACATTTAGTACGTTTCTTTCAATTATTATATTATTAGCCAAATGACCAATTTCACTTGATCAAGGCGCAACAGGGGCTTTTTCTCTTTCCCTCGAGAGAGATTTCTTCAACCCTTCCTAATTATAGGAGGTATCATGGACAGAAATTATAACAAGTTTCTACACTTCTTTCTATTCTATTCTCTGTGAATTTAAAACGGAAAATATTAATCTTTTCTGTTTTCTCTTATTGTAAGAATTCATTGCTTTATCTAATTAAGTAAATTAATATGCTCATCTCTTTTTATTTTAGAACAATATCTAGAGTGACAGAATACGTACATTTACTCCAAAAAAATTTGCACGGTTGC